GATCCTCCAACAAAGACCGTCACACTTGAATGCTTCTGTGCCCTTAGGGTCCTCAAACTGTCATCTGGAATAGCAGATCTGCTGGTCGCATTAGACCCGATTGTTTTGGGAGTTGTGCTTTTCTTCTACAATGAAAAAGCTTCTAATCGGTAAACATTATCGATTTCCACATGTCACCAGTGAAACACCTCAACAAAGTCATATCTTTAGTCTTCCGCTTTTGCTTCTGCTCATTGGACAGGAGCTGACTTTTCACTTTGATGAAAGGTCTAACTCCAAGGTTCTTATCCAAAATTTTTCTCATGGTGGACCTAGAGACGTTCAGATCTTTTGACTGTTTTCTCTGCGACCGGTTTGGATTTCTTGCAAAACGACATTTCACTTTTTGAATGAGAGTTTTGGTTCTTTTGGTGAGTGGGCGACCAATCTTCGGTCGGTCCTTGAAAGAGCGAAGTGCATAGTATCTTTTGATGGTAGTAAACACGAAGTTCCGCTTAATGCCCGTGTGGACGAGAAGACGAAATATTCCTCCCGGTGTTTTGTCAGCAAGATGAAGCGACACAGTTGTACTGCGCTTTCTTTCTTTGACCTCTATTTCAATGAAAAACAAACTCTGAATTGTCCTTTTCACAAATTATGAAGACAGGACAAAGGGCTTTCAGATGCACATCTCCGAATTTTTAAAATGACTCGCGTTTAGAAATTACATCTCGAAAAAGTTTGTATTCGAACATAAAGCCCACCCTGTACTTCGTCTCCATCAGAAGGTGTTTAACTAGTTCCACCCTCAAAAAAATGTTTAGCCATAAAAAAGGAACATTGACTTGTGGGATTGCTTCATCTGTCACCTCTACAATCTCCAACCGATAGGGACTATATATTGTCTTGTCCATGAAGCACATGGTCCTGGCGCTGCTGCCACATCTGACTTGTCACTCTCACTGTCACTTTCATCAATCACCTGCAATGGGCTACAAAGTTATATGTCTTTATCATCAAAGATCTCAGGGATCATATCATTGTTGTCGCTATCACTATCCGCTGCTACTTCTCCGGAAATTTTGTCTTCAGTTACCTCACGAACCCTCTTCACAGACGCCATATTGGGCAGGGTGGCAAAAAAGTTCTTTTTTTTTGCCCTTTTCTGTTGTTGACAGTGAAAATATCTCTCCTATATATCTGTCTGAGATCAAGATACACTATTTTTCGATCTATTGCCAAATTCTCTTGGTAGAGAACTTTTCCCTTAGGTGGCAAGAACATCCAGAATAGAGTCCTGCATAAGACCCCAAAGTACGCTCATGCCAGGTAAAGTTTGAGTTACGCTGGAAGTAAAAATACTCCCGCACCAGGGAAAGGGTCATTATTCCTATCCCATTTTCCATCTGCAAAGATATAACTCGATTTCACATAACAATAATGTTGAACTTTCATTATTGCGGAGAGAAAGCCAAGTCTGAAGGATTCTGTTTTGGTTGAACCGTTGCCTTGTTGATTTTCCTGGTTTATTGTGTTTGCTTTTAGCTGGTAACATGTTTTGCGGAGAATTAAAGAGCTAGCGAAGTAGAAGAAAAACAGCAAAGTGCGAGACTGCTATATGATAAGATGGGTTTCGACTTTCATGATTGCATTATTTATTCCGTGGTTATCCGAGGATGAAGTCAGATGATCATCCTCCTGAAAGGTTTTTTTCCGGACCCTGATGAATTATGCAAGAGGATCAAGACTCCACCGTGTGTAGAAAAGCATGAATAGCCCGCGTCTTTGCTCCTCTCTCTAAATCCCTGAACGTTCTCTGTGGCCCTTCTGCAGAAGACGTGACGGGAGAAGTTTGGCTCGGGTGTGAAAGTTTGCTCATCCGATTACAGAGTGAAAGATGTCCTTTCACTTACCGTTTTCATATCCACTTCCTTCGCGGATCGATCCTAAGGAGATACAACATCCACCCCCTCTTATCCGACTGATGAATCGGGAATTATGTGACGAAGTGATGGATGGAAGAAAGATATTGCCATTCACGTGAGACCAAAGTTTTCCCTATTTTCACGCGAGCGAGAGAGTTTGCGCCATGAACGGGGTCTGTATTTCTTCCTATCCTCATATCGCAAAATTGCCAGTGGCGCACGTTCCCCACGAGGTGGCACTTGGTAGCTCCCTCTCTCATTCCATCTCTCGTGCATTGTGACATCTCTGTACACTCCAAATCGAGAAGAACACTCCTGGTGTTGAGTGATGAAAGTTGCGGAGGACAGAGCGGAAAAGGAGACCACGTGAAATAGTTTGTTTTAGAGACTCATTATCGGAGAGATGCCTGAGGAGGAAGAAGCAGGAGGAAGGAAAGAAGGAGGAAGGAGAATGTGGAAATATTTATTCATCCCATCTTGTTGCTACAAGTCTTCTCTCGACTCCATTCGAGGTCTCGTCCTTGTTCACTTACGTTCTTCTCTGAATTTCTGCTTGGAACGGAATGCAATTTGTGTTCTGTCAGAATCAAAGACTCCCCAATTATTTTGAAGAGCGAGGTGCACGGAGAGTGGAAGTCCGTACGATTCCCTGCGATAAAGAATGAAAATTTCCCACAACTTTCACTCGCGAAAAGGTTCGAGAGAGTCGCAGGCGGGCAACTACTGCCGGGAGAAGAAAAGAATTATGATTTCCCATGTGGCTGTCACATGAATCGTTGCTAATTCGGGGTGAAAGCTGAGAGGTTCCTCCTAAGTGAGTCAGGCACTTTGACTTTTGTATTTGTCAACAGAAGCCCCATGAGCGACTTTTTTCTTGGGAAATCGAGAAAGATGGCAGGAGTAAGGGTGAATATTTGTAACACTGGTGGAAAATGTTCCCTTTCAGAGTTACGCCCACCAGCGAATGAAGTTTTAGGAATAAGGTAAGTTGGGGAATGTGACCATATTTCAACTTTGATGAAGTTCACAGCTAATTTTAGATATTTTAGTAAGGAAACTGAATAATTTTCCCTGAAGTACCCTTTATGCATTGAAAAAATAAAACCAGCCATATTTTTAACTTTAAGGAAGTTATTGTCAAAAGATAGAAAGATAAGAACTTCGTTCATATTCCCCCAAACTGGGGGAGATCTGACCTCATCGCCCCTTCACAGAACACATTGAGTATATGTTGTTGCAAGTTCTCATCTCCTTCATTATAGTAAACTTGATGTCACAAAGTAATTTTTTGCCACTAATTACAATGATGCAACTTGATGAGAATAAGTTTCCCATATTTGCCCGTGACTGTTGCCCAGGTTTTCCGTTTCTCTCTTAAGGGATGTGCGTTATAGCATAAACAAATGGTATGACGTTTTAAAAATCATCCTGTACAAATGCCTGACCAAAGGCCCTCCGATTCGTGTCCTAGCTGGCGAAACTCAATGTCCTAAACACCTTGGTGGGTACATCGAGCTGCATCACGAACAAAACTCCAAAGGAATTCCATATGCTTTCAAAGCAGCATAGATACTAAAATATTTATTTACTACTGTTAAAATAGCCCCCTGCTAGTTCTCCATATGTATTGACGCTCTTTGTTCACTAGGTAATACTTCCAAGGTATCTGAAAATGAATTGGAACAAAATTATCAACAGGTAATTTTCAATTTTCCCCAAAATGCATTTGGTCACTTTACCCCAAATACATACTTCATTTTCAAATAGCCACCCTGTTGAATAAGTAGCAGCAGACGAAAATTGGTTCCATCAGATGATGTGACAATATACAATGTAAGTGCAAATTATTTCCTATACTCTCCACGAATGATGAGTACGATAAATATAATTTAAAAAATTGAAATAACTATTTGGCGGGAAATCCTGACCAGTTATTAGTGATTACCCTTGAAAACCAGATCTCAAGCATATATGGAGTCAGTTAGGGCCACCCATGCCGATTGACGCAAGTGATCTTGTATCAGTGCTGATGCATGCAAAATACGATCTTCGCCACTCTGAAAAATATGGAATTCTTGGATGAAATGTACCTTTATGGCCACATTTCAGCCTTGGTCAAATTCCCCCAATTTACCTTATCGATGTAGAAAAGATGATGAAGGATGAGATCGAATGGAGAATCCTGTTTGCTTTTCCCATACTCAGAGTAATCCCTTTCTAATCTCTCCCGCTCTGTAGATACGTGATGGAGTTTTCGAGCGGGCCAAGGCAATTAATCAATCCATAAGTGATGGAGGGGCAAGCATGTGAGCAGGAGTGCTTTTTTGCCCTTCCAACAGTCACACCAGGATAAGGGGAAAGCTTAGTTTCCTTCATACAGCGTCACTCGCAATTTTCCAGGGGACATCTATGTCGATCCGGGAGGATCGACATAGATGTCCCCTGGAAATAGTCCATATCGATATCCAATGTTTACAAGCTTGGTATTTGTCGATCCACGGCCCGAAGATTGAGGAATATACAGATATCAGCTCTCTTCCTCCCGAACTCATGTTACATGTCCATCCAGATGCAGTCTGTGTAACTGTTCCATTACTCCTCACTGGAATTCCTGGAACTGGAATTCCATTCCTCCTTAATATGTTATTCACGTCCGGGGCCCTCCGACGTGATTGACTGCATCATGAATATGGCATCTCCGGCCGAGCCAGATTTATCTTCCATTACGATATGGTATGTCGTAATGATCGTGGACCTCGTCTGACGTAGATTTCTCTTCCATCCCATTGTTCTCTTCCATGCTTCATTACGCTTCGCATGCTTTCTCCGTTTGCTTTTTTTTCTCCCCGATAGGAAAAAATATGACTCGGTTGTCTTCCATACAGTTTCCTAATTCCATGCTTTCTCCTCTAATTATGGTAAATAAATAATAATAATAAAACGAATGGAAGGATGGGAAACTGGAAGAGATAAGTCTATTAGTCTACAGACTGAGAGGGGAGGCGAATATGATAGAGGGAGATAGGAAACGGTAATCGAGTTTGTCCGCATCCCTTACAGCACCTAATTAAGGCTACTGCACTCCCACAAGGATGCATGATAGAAAGGGGTAGGAAGAGAAAGATCGGTCTTATTCATGGGGTGAAGAAACGCTTGATTGGATATGACCTTGTACAGGGAATCCCCGAAACAAAGTGGCCTTGGCTCCGGGGAGATCTCTGATGGATTGGATTCGATTGGGGAATTCTGGTGAGGATCTGACGGGTGTCGGAGGAGCCAGGAAGGAATCTATCTCCGTCCAGGAATTGGCCCTTCACAATCATCCTCCTCACGACGTCTGGATTGCCATTCGAGGTACCGTACGAGACCACCTTCGTCCCGTAAAGTTGGTTTCCCGTAGTAGAGTAAAATGGCAAAACTCGAACACCTTCAAGGTGAGGGTTGAGTAGATCGCACAGAAAAATTCTCCCTATTCCGTCTTTCTATTCACCCTATGCGACACATTTCATTCGCGTTTTTTTATTTTACCTCGATGTATGATAGATGAAATCATGAAAGGTTCTGGGCAGTCATGCAGTTCCGTGACAGAGACAATCGAGATCATTCCAGTGCTGAAAATTGTGTGCCTCATAAATAGGTTGAGGCAGGGTACTTGTTAACTCGTGATTGGGAGTCCCTGACTCGGAGGGACTCATATCTGCAAAGCATCTAAGTCCGTGGGACTCATTGACAACCACCCGAACATTTTCCTACTGAGCTGAAGCTTGGCTTCAGCTCAGCCTGAACCCAAGATTTAAAAAAGCTAGTGTGAACCCTGTTGAGGTTATTAAGTAGGTAAATTAAGTTAATTTTTGTCTCATGGTGTGCATCACGCATGTTTCCAAATTGCCTTCTCTAGGAATTATAATAATAGCTGATAAATTTGAGAAAATTCTGAGTCGAATTCCTTTTAAGGTGCGGCTGTTCGACTCTAACTGCACTTAAGCTCGAATTACTACGATACTCGAACGTTGGTGGTCGAGTTATTCTTCATGGGCTAGAGGTGCCTGCTAAACTCGACCTTCAAACGCTTTCCCTTTTTGTTTGGTTGTGAGAAAATGTTTCATTGACACTTTGTGTGAACCAGTAATAATTTGTTTTTTTTTTTCAATTATATAAATATCGTAAATAGTGCAGTCTTAGATACGGTATATTTGATATGGCTGGATAAAAAACAACCCCAAAATGGGCCCTGGAGTCCAAGAGTACAAAACCACCTTCTGGCAAAAAAGCCAAATAAAAGGTCGCCACCCAAATACACATATTCGAAACCAAACTTCAAGCTGCAGAAGCAGTTCGGGGAGGTACGGGATATGGAGCAGCAAGTGCGAGATTTGGCATGCCAAAAATCAACACTTTTTGGTCATGTAAATGGAAGTCACACACTTAACCTTTCCCGCTCCGTTTTTCATGCAACGCTACGACCAATGGCGAACCCCGTTCGACAAAGGAGTGAAAAGGGTTAAAGAGTGGCCAGAAACCCCTTCTGCATGAGAATAAAAAAGATGCTCAATGATTACATTCTATCCATGGCTGCGCGAGGGTGAGATTTTTCCATCCTTATGTTTAAATTACCTCGAATTTGTGTTGGGGAAAGAGAGTGTAGTCTAAAAACATTACTGGAATTTAAGCAAACCCTGTAATTTTTTCCCCTTATCTCTTCCCCTCCCAATCGATCGAGTTGAAGCTCAATCCCGTTTCTCACGTGTTCTTCAAACGACTGCATTCTCCCCAAGTTGTAGTTAATCTGTCATAAATTCACTTGAAAAATTATTCATGTCAAAAAGTTTCCACCCCGAACATGGATATTGAAATAATGAGAACAATAATTTAAACACCTACTTGAATGTACAAGAAAATGAAACCAATGAAAATGTTTAAGGGCTGTGTGCTGATCGTTATGTGTGTCATTCAGATTAAGAAAATATTAGCATGTTTATGGCATTCTTCGTGATTCCTGTTGATCTTTCCTAAAAGAATGAATTTTGAGTTTTTTTTTTAAGTTTCTGCGTTTCTATTACGAGTCGACAAGATCATGAATTGCAGGACCCAGGGGTAATGGCGCAGAAATAAATTATGCAGTAGCCTCCTCTTGATAGAATTTGACTCAAGACGCAAGAGCGTTCATGTCTAGCCATGCCCATTTTCCAATTTCCGAATTCCAACTACATTTTCCAATCAAAATTTAGTTAGTCGAAACCAATGGTATTTTAATATGAATGCCTTGCTATTGATTCAAAGCAGACGTACTATGGGAATTATGTGGAATTACACTCCTATAATAGTTGCATTTATTCCTGTGAAAATGACTGGAATCTACTCCAATTGTCTCTAACGAGAGAGGGAAAATGTTGTTTGATGCAGCATGTTATTATGCAAGGAAATTTCTCTTGTCCTTGCTGTTTCAAGCAAGAACTGATAGTAGTCTCCCACCCAGCTATCTATATGTGGAAACCTGAAAACAATACAAGTAGCAGATCCATCAGAAACGAAAGGAGCGTGACGGAGTATTTGAAACTTTGCTCTTGGAGAAGTCCGAATCAGAACCTTGGCTCCTGCTCCGGAAACGGAACAGCTTCAGATCTTACCCCATGGAGTTTATTGTATCGTCTCAACATTTCTCAATCCGGGTTCATTCAAGTCTGATCAACAACCACTCGGAAACTTCTTGGCCATTTACAGAAGAGGACGTAAAAGATGCCATCCCGTCCGTGGCACGACTCTTCTCTGTATGCAATTTGACTGCGATCATTATCACTGTTGTTACTTTGCCTTGCGTCATTTCACTGCATATACATCTTCACTGTCTTCCCTTTCCCTGTAGCACCCTTTTCACCGTGGGGCTTTTTCATGCAGGCGCGACTTTTTCCGTTTTCTTTTGCTTATCTCATCTCACTGCTT